CCATTTGAGTGGACTGTCCAAAAAAGTGCTTTATAATTGTAAGGATATAATTATAAAAGTGTTTCTTCCTTATAACTATACCAACACTCACAATCCCACAATGTGTTTAATCTCATAACTATTAAATTAGCTGTGGTTTTGTGGGAACTATAGTTTACTTTTCTAACTGTGTCATTGTTTTGGGATTAGAGCATTTTGCACACTACGTAAGCTCACGTACAAACAATATTGCCATGATGTGTCCACGGTGAGTCAGATATTTACCTTTGGTGTCAATGGTTTCTACCAGCATGTCAATGACAATAATGGTGCCGGTTCGTCCTATTCCAGCACTGTAGGGGGAGACAAATCGAGTGAGCACAGCAAGAACAGACTATCAACTATCAACCTACCAACTGCAAACACAGCATGAGCGGACACTGCTTTCGTTATAGAGGTTTTGATACAACCGGAAATTTTGTTTCGGTTGTCTGAATTGTTCGTTTTAAGGACATTGGGCAGACTTCATTCTGTACTCTATAAATACTCTTTGCTATTATATTACATAGAAATATCACCCTTCAGTGAAATGTATACTTTTTCATTATCAAGAAGATGAATTTTGAGATTAATACAGCATTACTGAAAAGTAAGCAATTACAAATACAATGCATGTAAAAAAACAACAACTATCTTTTAAAGAGCTCAGAAAATGGTATTACATTGCAAACAGCATCTCTGAAACTCTGTTGTCACAAGCAGGGTAGGTTGAGCTGTTCACAATACACTGCAAAAAAACTACAGCCCCCACCAGCAATTTTGCTATTTAAATATTTGGAGGCATGCTGTGCTGCAGATTGCCAATACTCTCCCCAGGAGTGACAGGACAAACAGATTGCAAATCAAAGACGAAGGAATTAAGTACCAGGCAACTCGTTACACAATCAACCTTTTGTGCTGCAGGTTTCCTTTGAGCTGTGTTTAAAAGAGGAAACGTTTTAATTGATTAAAATATAAGAAATATTTTGGGAGGTTAATAAAGAGACTTATGAAAGAGAAAAGCATTCAGAATTCCTTCTGGAATGATCATTCTTCTCACAGCCAGCTGTCCACACCCACTGATAAAAGTCTGGTTTGAATCTCTTTCTCTTATTCAAGGTCAACACAACAAACTGGCCAATAGTTCAGGTGGGCAGCTGCGTCAGCATGCGTAGGCTGCAAAGGAACAAGTAATAGGTTTATTCCCTGGTGAAACGAGAAGGAAGTAAACACAATGTTTTGTCCGTGGAACCCTCACACCTGAAGAAGGCTCCTCGGCCGAAACGTTGTGTTTTCTTCCTTCTCTTTTCAGCAGGGAATAAACCTATTACTTGTTAAATTGGCCAGCAACTCAGTGAGCCGCCTGAGGTCTGCTCCCTCCTTCCCTGTTACTCTGTGCTGGGTCTCTGGGTACCTGCAGTGCACAATCATGGGTCCAGCCCCACGGATCTCCAGCTGCTTGTTGTTGACCTGGGTGAGGAAGCTGAGCACTCCACCTGGCTCTGAGGGGACACCATGATCAGGCCAGCTCAGGTACTGATAGTGCCAAATTTCCCTGGTGTCTTCACTCTGAGAAAGAGAGAGGGCTGGGTCACTTCATGCCCGCTGACCCACTGTCACACGGATCAGCGAACTAGCATGCTGATCACCAAACACTGACCAAGGTCAAGATGGACAAACAATATCAACCCAGTGTCACCCGAGATGATCACAGTGATCAAGTACTGATTGTCCAACCTTGCCTAAGGTCAAGATGGACACATAAGCACTCATATTATCAACCCAGTTTCACTCATGATGATCACAGTGATCAAGTGCTGATTGTCCAACCTTGACTAAGGTCAAGATATTGTCCAACCTTGACTAAGGTCAAGATGGACACATGTGCACTCACATGATCAACCCAGTGTCACTCATGATGATCACAGTGATCAAGTACTGTTTGTCCAACCCTGAGTAAGGTCAAGATGAACACATGAGGACTCACATTATGAACCCAGTCTCACTCGTGATGATCACTGATGGTCAGATACTGACAGTCCAACCTTGGCTAACGTAAAAATGGACACATGAGGACTCACATTATGAACCCAGTCTCACTTGTGATGATCACAGCAATGATGTATTGACAGTCCAGCCTTTAGTCCAGTCAGTTTTAAGATATCACCCAAACGAGAGCCAGTGTAAAGTACTGACTGGAAAAGTCAATAATCTTCAGCTTGTTCTTCAGAGTTCGTGCATTTGTAGGGTTAGCATATTATTCTTTATTAAAAATGAGTATTTACTGTGCAGTCATTTTGGAATGGGAGTCTCCCTGCTGTGGATGTGTTCGTGTGGGAGTGTCTAGCACAGCCGTGAACTGTGGAGAATGCACTCGCGAGGGACCTGTTCAGTGTGGAATCTGAAACCTCGTCTTTGGAATCACAGCTGCTGCCCGTCTTTGATTAGCGCGTGCAGCTGCGATTCCTTTAAAGGCACACTGAGCACCTCCTCCGAAGAGGACGAGCAGGGCTACCCCGGAAGGGGAGGATCGGTACACACCGGCAGTCCCGGAGGGGGATTGTACCCAACCAGTTTCCTTCTTTTTATTTTCCCGTTTCATTTAGCCTGTTCTATCCTGCGTCTATACCGAGGCAGGCTGACCTTCTTCCACAGTTGGGAGTTTTTATTTTGGCCTTGCCTGCTCATCTAGACTGGACCCCCCAAGATAGGGCAAATCCAGCCAAGGGGGGGGCTTTCCCCCCCCTCTCTAACGGGGTCCAGCCTGGGCGCCGCTCTGCATGAACTTGACTAAACGGCACATTTTGTATTTTTCCTTTATTGTTTCTGTTTTCTTTCGGGTTCTCGCTGACCTCACACCAGTGCTCGCCCACGGCCCCTCCCACTGTCCCCTTGCTACAAAGGATGAACGGCTAGCGTTTCCAGCACCAGACAACCGTGACGCGCGGGCCGATCTGCGACATATTCACACACACACACACACCTCGTCCTGGGGCGAGATCTCCAGAATACGGATTTTGTAGTCGGTGGCATCGCGCTCGGATACATTCCGGACCAGGTAGTTCCCGTACTCCTTCGTCCCCTCCGGTTCTGGCCAGTACGGAACGCACTTGTTCTGGAGGGCGAGAAAAGACAACCGCATTGCAGGCCGGGATTTCTCTGCACCTTCATTCTCAGTTCTCGGGTCTGCGTTCAACTTGGAAACCCCGATCAGATACCTCCTGGTTTCTGACCTTCGCTGGGTTCTTGCGGCAGAAGAGAAGCTAAATTGTCCTGAGAGATATGGAAGCACCGTGCCCTTCAAGGTAACTAGCAGAGAAGATCTTTGCATCAATTTTATCTCTTTGTTGGGAGCACCACGTCAATATTATTATTATTAATTCATTTGACAATAATTTATTGCACTTCTATAGCGCTTTTCTGGACACTCCACAGGTCATGGGGAATCCCACTGTCACCACCAGTGTGCAGGCCCACCTGGATGATGCTCCAGTCCTCTCCCCCCACACCAGCTCTCAGTGGGGAGGAGAGCAGAGTGATGAAGCCAGTTCACAGATGGGGACTATTAGGAGGCCATGATTGTTAAAGGCCAGGGGGAAATTTGGCCAGGATGCCGGATTAACACCCCTAATTTTTTTAGAAACGCCCTGGGATTTTTAACAACCACAGAGAGTCAGGACTTCGGTTTTATGTCTTATCCGAAGGACGGTGCCTTTTTAAAGTCTAGTGTCCCCGTCACTATACTGGGGCATTAGGACCCACACAGACTGCAGGGTGAGCGCCCCCTGCTGGCCCCACTCACACCTCTTCCAGCAGCAGCCTCAGCTTTCCCAGGAGTCTCCCTTCCAGGTACTGGCCAGGCTCACACCTGCTGAGCTCCAGGGGGGCTGACAGTGCTGAGTCGCAGGGTGACTCGACT